GGACTGCGCGACTAAAATGTGAAGGACTACCATCTTGTTGTCAATACTATTAGGTCATACAGCGCGTACACTTGAAACCACTTGATTTTCTAATAGTTGCAGATATCTGTCTCCGTCCAAATTTCCATCAATAAAAAATGGACCAATTACATCCTCTCCCATAATACCAGCCCATACATTAATTTTCTGCGGTTTCTGAGTATGACCTTCTCTTATTAAACGTGCATTTTCGTCACTCCAATAACGACAATTGTGCCTATTAACCTTAACATTCAAGTAGAAAGTAGCCTCATCAGAGAAACCAACATTCAAAAGAAAATTTCTGTCAACATCACATTTGTCACGTACTATTTCACAGAATTCCAACTTTCTTTCGAAGTCACCTTCGTTCAATTTCCATTTTCCCATTTGGTAGTCAACCCCTCAGAATTCTTGAAAGAATTAAGATATAGGGTTTTGGCTTATGGGGTTGTGTTTTTTTTTTTCATTACCTTTAAAATAAGGTAAAACTCGACAGGGGTTCCTATTTAAAAATGTAGGGGTGGTCATTCCCTAAAAAAACTCCACATTGCATGGAAGTTCTAAACTATCCCAAATTTTCAAATTTTGTTCTTCACTCGTTCAAAACTTATAGCTCCGTCCCGGGAGTTTTGGGAAACCTGAATATAAATTCTATTATGTCCCACTATACAGGGTGTTTCAGGTTTTTGTAGGAGGATTTTAACAGTCGATAGATCTTTTAAAATTAGCACAAAAACAATAACTTTTCTGACAGTATACTTTTTGGTTTTTTGAATAAAAATTCTCATTCTCGGTACTTTTTTAAGCAAAAACGGTACTTTTATCAAAATGCGCTAAAGTTGATCGTTTTCAAGATAATCCGCTTTCTATTATTCGATATAGATCAATTTTTTTAGAAGATTGTTACAGATAGGTATAATAATGCTTGCCATTGAAACAAAGTAGGTAAGTTCACTAATGTTTTAGTTTATTGCATCAAGTGTCAAATCACCAGTAGTTGTTGATCAATGTTAAATTAATTTTTCTTATTCGTTAATGTGTTAAATTCAATTTTCTTATTTATTAACGTGTTAAATTCATTACTCTTTTTCCTAATCGTGTTAAATTGTTTTTTTTATAATTTTTTGTTTGCTACATAAAACATTATAAAATGCCGTTTATTTTTCCTAACCAAGAGCGGATATTCATTTTGTTTATGGGTTTGCAAACGGAAATTCAGCAGAAGTAGCCCTAGAGTATACGAGAATATATCCAAATAGAAGACATCCGCATCCTTCTGTGTTTGTGAAAGTGCATCGACAAATAGTTGAACAAGGGCTAAATAATGATATGAATTTAGTGTCAACGTCTGGGTAGGTGTTTGTAATAATCATCGTTTAGAGCCATAGTTTTTGCCACCACAACTAACCCCGGTGCACAGTGGTCAAGTTCATGAATTTAGGAGGACAAAATTCATACCTCAAAAACCCAGCAAGCTACGGCAATGAAATTTCGTATGTAGCTGTTAGTAACAAAATCTAAGGTTTGTATCAAGTTGGGATTATATTCGTCAGCCGGAAGTGGTACTTTATTTGAAACCATATTGAACTTGTTCTATACAGGGTGGTTCAAAAAACCGCTGACAGACTTCTAGGGCAGGTAATACATCAAAAATTAAGATGAAAAGTCTTAATATACATGGGGTCGCAAATGCCTCCTTAACGAGATATAGCAGGTCAAACTTTCTTTAAAATTAAACATTATCTGCAATAAAAAGCCTTTTTTTAAAATATTTTCAACTCCACTGCTAGTTTTGTCAAACGGGCAGTATTTTCGTGTAAAGTGATCAATTATCTATCAATTGGTCTCTTACAAAACTTTGATTAAAGCAACAGTTTTTGATTGAATTAACAAATTTTCTACAAACGTGTTTTTCTTAAAAACTATTGCTTTGATCAATGTTTTGTAAGAGACCAATTGATAGATAATTGATCACTTTACACGCGTAGAGAGCAATGGCGTAGATAATATATTTAAAAAAGTGCTTTTTATAGCAGATAATGTTTAATTTTAAAGAAACTTTCATCCGCTATATCTCGCCAACGAGGCATTTGCGACGCCATGTATATTAAGACTATTCATCTTAATTTTTCATGTATTATCTACTCTAGAAGTCTGTCAGTGGTTTTTTGAATCACTCTGTATAAACTTGCTGTTTGACAAATGAAATAATAAATTAATAATAAATAATATTAATAAATATTATAAATTAATAATATAATAAATTCTTTGTAGTCATGAAAATATGTAAATATTAAATATCAGTCAAATTGCGTAACCGGAAGTGGTCAAGTTTGTTTATTTAGGAGGTTCATATACAAACCTGCTTTGTAATTGACTGCAAGAAAAACGTTCTAGTCGATTAATTTGGAGTATTTTATGAATTTTTATGGATTCATGTCTATTTATATGTTTTTGTTAGAATTAAATTGTAATATAAACTGTAGAATGTGTTAGGACTTTTCAACCGACTTAACCAACCGTTTATTACGATAAATGAAATAGCCTTTTTACTATACAAAATTAATCACATTTAAAAAATATATAAATTAGGGGGCGGAAGTTTAATATCGCGCATAAATTCTATTGAAATTTTTATTTAAACTTTGTATCCGCGTTTGACACTCTTTGCTTCATTTCGTTAGAGTTTCACAATGGGGATATGAATCCACTTTACTTGAGATATGAAGGTGCCATAATCATATCACTTCTGCTTTTCTTTCGAAGCGTGAGAATATTGAGATTTAATCTTGAATTTACGTTACTACGTTACCTCATTTTTGTCACATTCCTCCTTTGATAGTCAATATTTTCAAAACTCAGTGGAAGTAAGTAAAGTCTTATATACCATCTTATAGCTTATGCTTCAGGTTACAAAATAAAAAAAGAATTGTAATGATTCATTATGAACCGTGCAAGAAAAATCAAATAGAAATGTGAATATGTGATGTTAATTTTTTAAATTTAAGATCTAAAGCCTAGTGAACTAAATAAACGTAGTTATATATACTAACTGTATTATAAATACAGTTAAAAGTGTGGACTATCACTATATAAATTCAGTATATGTATATTCAATACACATTGCATACAACCGTACTATTGTACGGTTGTAATATATTTGTATATTTGTATATGTAGTATAATATTTTATATTAACAAAATTAAAGACCAGAAAAATTCTTAATTAAACATCCGGATAGTGGTCATAAACCATTCTAATCAAAAAAAAAATCCTATATTATATGCCAGTCATACAGTAAGCCAAATACTGCATGATTATACCACAAAAAAATGACCAATTTTTGTATTTTGTCCTCCTAAATTTGAGAAATTGACCACTATGCGCGGACGAAAGGCCTGGTTTCAACTTGATGATGGTGGTAAGAAATTGGCTAGACAACCATTTTCCTACAAATAGATTGGTCGTGGTGGAAAAGTCGCATGGCCCCACGATCTGCAGATCTTAATGCTTTAGACTTTTTTGTGTGGAAAATTGTATGAGACACCTGTTCCCACAAGAGATGAACTTTTAATAGGATTAGGAATGATTGTAATGACATAAGGCCGTTCTTAAATATCATTACTCGATAAGTAATTCGTCGGTCAGAATTATGCAAGCAAAATTTTTTACATTTTCAACAATTTCTTTAATTTTCTTCTTATTATTTAGATTAACAAACATTAATCAACTAAAACATTAGTTAGTTTACCTACTTTGTTTCCATGGTACACATTATTTTAACTATCTTTAGGTATCCTCTAAAAACATTGGTCTGTATCGAATAATAAAAAGCGGATTATCTTGAAAACGATCAACTTTAGCGCATTTTGATAAGAGTACCCTTTTTGCTTAAAAAGTACAGAGAATAAATAAATAAAAATATTGTAATAAAAATAAATTTGAAAAAATTAAAATTAAATAAAATTGAAAGAGCGCCATCTCGTATGAAATTGCAAAATTGAAGTATTAATTTTAAATTTTAAGGCTTTATTTTCAAACATTAATTTTTAATTACTCTAAAAATTGTTTTATTAACAAATAATTAAACGAACATAAACAATTTTATGTATTTTTAATTAAAAATAATCCCATTTAAAAACATAATTAGCGCCATCTCTTAGAGAGTTTTAAAATTACGTCAAAGAGATTAATTATTGAACAATAAAATAAAAATAAAGATTAAATAATTTACATATTTTTAGTTACGATAAAACAATTTGCATTTTTTTAATATTTTTTTATATTAAATATTAAAATTAAATAAAATTTGATTTAACCCGTTTTTCTTAGAGCGCCATCTCTTATGAAATTGCAAAACCAAAAGGATTAATTTTAAATTTTAAGTCTTTGTGTTTAAAAAATAATTTCTAATGATTCTTAAAATTGTTTTATTAACAAGAGATTAAACGAATACAAATAATTATATGATTTTTTAATTTAAAATAATCCCATTTATGATATATAATTAGCGCCATCTCTTATAAACTTTTTTAAATACGCCAAGGAAATTAATTATTTAACAATAACATAAAAATTAATATTAAACAATAACGTACAATAATGTACTACAGAAACAACAATTTATTAATTTTTTATTACGATAAAACAATTTGGATTGTTTTGGTGTTTTTTATAAGTAATTTTATCGGTTATTCGAGTGTATAGAACAACCATTTTGAATAGAAAGTGTAAGATTTATAATTCAACGATTTTAAAACAATAGATTAAGATAATTTTGAAGATAAACTTGAAATTATCGCTTTCGCATAATTTAGTACTTTAAAAAAATGTTAGAGATCGCTATATTTAATATTTATCAGGTTAAAGTCAATTGTCAAAATTGACATTTAATTTATGATAATACTCGTTATTTTTTTTACACATAACGGAAAATTTGAAAAGAGTTTGTGCATAACTAAAATATTAATTAATCATAGTGCTTGAACCCTAAATATTAGAATTTACCGCGCCGGCGTTTAAGGGTACTTAGGTTAACTAGATGGCGCTCCGTTCTTGATTACATTCGATTCGCTATGTTGTTTTTGAGGCAGAACAACTGAAAACCAGCAACAAAATTCTTGAATAAAACACAACCGAAACAAATGAAAAACGCCAACAATGGCAGACGAACAGGTATTAACTTGCATTAACTTTCTTTGACACCTCAATACATGATCCAAAAACTCGGTATTTCGAACCCTTTTTTAACTAATTTTATTGTTAATCGTTTAAACTTTCCCTATAAACAAATTCCTAATCGTTATAACCAATAAACTAGTTTATTATTGAATAAAAAAAATGTATTTGACAAGCTCACCTTAAAATCTAACCCCTAAAATTTTTTTTTGTAGGAAATTCGGCAACTTGAGTTACTTTGCAAACAATTATATGAGTCCCAGGATAGTGTGGCTCGTGCGGAAGCTGAAAAGACGTTAGTTGTATTTCAAGACGGCCCCGATGCCCTTACAAAATGCCAAGTTTTATTGGATCGAGGAGATTCAGGGTACGCTCAGCTGTTGGCCGCTACCACCCTTACAAAGTTAGTATCGCGAAGTGCTCAAGGTTTAAGTCTTCAACAACGCGTTGACATTCGAAATTATGTCCTCAATTATTTGGCAACAAGACCGAAACTATCCAATTTTGTTATTCAAACGCTGGTCACTCTTTTCGCTCGGATTACTAAACTTGGATGGTTCGATACCCATAAAGAAGAGTTTGTGTTTCGAAATGTTGTTAATGATATCTCCAAGTTCCTTCAGGTAGGTTTATAAAAATGTGTTTGATAAAGTATTATATAATTTTTTTTGTTTCAAATAATCTTTTTATCTTATTTTAATGTTAATCTAAGCTTTAAAATATTAAAATTATTTTTTTTTTATTTTTAAGGTTTTATAATTTTATATTATTATTATTTGATTTGAAGTGTTGAAATTAATTTCAATGAATTGTTGAGAATTCGACAAAGGTGATTCATATGTAAGTTATTACATACAGAAATTCCTATGTATTAGGAATTTTTTGATAATTTTTAAGCTTATTTAAAGGATTTTATGTAACATTTTTATTTAACCTCACTCTTGATGCGCATTATTGTAAATAATTAGTAGTATTAATTAATTTGGTTTAATTGATAACCACAATTCTCTGTCAAGAGGTGATACATGCTCACCTCTTTAAAGATTATACATACAGGTGGTCCATTTAACTTGAGACAAGCTTATCTCGAGAACGGTTCATTTTACATAAAAATGAACCAAATGAAAGTTGTTTTGTGCGAAGGGGGAAAGTATATGACGATAACATTTTTTAACCTTGACCTTATTGTCATGGTCGTATGAAGGTCACGACCAATTTTTTAAATGACACCCTATACAGCAGTGGTGCCCACTAATTTTTGATCAAGATCGACTTTTTATATAAATGGCAAGACGCCAAGATCGACCGAAGGGGTTAAAATGTTTTTCAGACTTAAGTATTATCAATTACGTTCTCTTCGTCTAAAATATTTTCAGATTTCTAACACTTCCGGTTATACCGGAAGTTGCCACTTACTTTATTTTTTTAAATGGAACACCCTGTATATTTTTACATATTTGGATTTGTCTGTTTTGAAGGTTTATAAATAACTTTACTTTTTGCAATTTGATTCGGCCGTTCTCGAGTTATTCGAATTTTTCTAGAGAAATCTGCTCGAGCGGACATTTGTTCAAAAAATCAGAGAACACTCGATTTTTGAGATATCAATTTAGGATTCAGAACATGCTTAAACAACAAGATGGAGTATGTTTTGGTGCCGAGAACGGCTGTCTAGATCGTTTGGTCACTTTACTATGACACGTTAACTTTTCGAAATTTGGAAGCACCATAACTTCAGTTTTTTAAATGGCACCCCCCATATTTTATTACTTAGTCGTCTTCGGCGTCTCATTTTACATCTTTTATACTCCATATGTCCCATTAATAGTTTGAGAAATAATTAGGGTTTTTTGAAAAATGCTCACATATCATATCAATATTAACCTATACATATCACCTACATATCATATCAATTTACAAAATTAAAGTTTAAAAAGTTGTAAAATGAAACTAAGGACGAAGTGTAACAAATTTACAGATTAAAATTTAAGAACGCTCTTTTTTAACGAAAGAGATATTAAGAAACTTGGGAAAAATTCAAGAATCATGTGGCTTAAAAAACCGACGACTTTTTTTAATCAATGTGAAATAACCCAAAAAACACGTTAAAAATATAAAGAAAGTGCGGAAAAGTGACTAACACTAGATTAACTTCAGCTATAAAACTTCTATTACATGATAATTAACTTCAGGTTTAAAATGTCAACCTCACTTTTGACATATTTGTAATCTTCATTAAAAATCCTTTAAAATGAGTGCAAACACGACATATTTATCTTCAATATTAATGAAGTTATGGTCAACTTCCGGTTAAGAATGTCAACGTCAATTTTGACATATTTGTAATCGTCGTGAAAAATCCTTTAAAATGAGTCCAAACATGATACGTTTAATTCCAATATTACTCGAGATATAAGCAACTTCCGGTTTGAAATGTCAATGTCATTTTGACATATTCTTAATTTTTATAAAATGTCTTAATATTTGTCACAAAAACAAAAATATAAAAAAAAAAAAAATAAAAAATTAAGGTTGGTATTAATATTTAAAAATTAAATTGCTATCTTCATTGTTGCCAACTTCGGGTTTAATGTTTTTTATTCTAACTTTTTTGTTTTTTGAGATAAGTGCGTCATCTTTGGACTCATTTTAAAGGTTTTTTAATGAAGATGACAAATATGTCAAAATTGACGTTGACGTTTCAAACCGGAAGTGATTACATTTCCATTAATATTAAAGTTAAATATGTCGAGTTTGGACTCATTTTAAAGGATTTTTTATGAAGTTGACAAATATGTCAAAATTAAAAATTAAAAGTTCGAATTTTTTGGTTTTTTGAGATAAATGTGTCAAGTTTGGACTCACTTTAAAGGTAATAATAAAATTAAAGTTGACATTGACAACTGAAAGTTTTTTTCACGACTAAACCCGAATGCTTCTAGTTCTCGTTCTAGTTTTAGTTCAATAAAAATATACAACATAGTAATATCTTATGCTAACTAGCGCTACCTACCACTGCCACTAGAACTAACACTAGACCGTGAACTAGAAACATTCGGATTTAGTCCCACGTCTCTCAAGACGGTTAAACCCGAATGATTCTAGTTCTAGATCTTGTGTTAGTTCTAGTGATAGTGCTAGTGTAAAACTACACCTCTCACATTAGTCCTAGAACTGGAAATATTCGGTCTAGTGTTAGTTCTAGTTTTAGTGCAATAAAAATGTGGAACAGTGATATCTTATGCTAACTAGCGCTACCTTCCGCTGTCGTTTGTAAAATGGATAAGATGAGAGATGTTAATCTATTTGTGGAGTCTCTGAAGATGGCTAAGGGCCGAAACTTGTTAGACTTAAATTCTATATAAAATAAAAGACAAACTTTCAATTTTATACTAACATCTAGAAAACGACACTGACTCGAAATTGTAGGTTCATCTATTTTTTCTATTGTAGAATTTCTTGGTGTATCTAAGTGTCGTATCTAATGGTAAGTCGGTTCTTAGACGTATGATGCAAATCGGACTTGAAATCGTATAACGTGATTGGCGCTTAGCTTTATCCTTTAAAACAAATAGTATTTTAGGTCTCTCGGTATTCTGTATTTTTTCTAAGATGTTACACCTTTACTTACCAGACAGCATGAATATCTCTAAAAACGATAAAATGTCGCTTAGTCAAGTGACGTATAGCGCGGTTCATTTATTATAATATGATAAAACACAGATAATGTTATTTAAATTTATTTTTAAGTATAGCATTCAAAAACCTTAACTTTGACAATCTGGTGCCTAATAAGCGATTCCTTTCCTCATTAATTGTTGCGCCAACTTCTGTGAATAATCGTTCGTTAGACACTGAAGTTGCTAACAGTGGCAAATATTTCATTGCTCTTTTATACAAACATGGAAATAATGGTCGATTATTTTATCAAACATCGAAGATAAAATATCGTTCATAATGAACTATGTATCGATGTTTTATGGACTTCAACATCGCTATTAAAACATCGATGTTTTCGAAAACTCGATGTATCGTTTGCATCCCTACGAGATATACAGGTGTCCCGTTAGAGCGGCTGTATCTCGACAACTGTAAAGCCTAGAGGTTTGGGAAAAAAATCCTTATAGGCAAAGTGGCCAAGAGAAATAGCTGGAAATTATTTTGAAGTTCGTAATTCGACCGCTAGGGGGCGTAACTGCCATTGAGAAGCATAAAATTCCCGCTATCTCAGAAACTTAGAAGATGAGCTATAATTTTGACAACATCATCTAATAGCTTTGATAATACCGCTTTTGTTTTGCGATATTTCTCATATCTGTCATAATAAGGGAGCGGGAGGCCAATGCGTTTTCGTATGTTTACATTTTAATATCTCCTGGACCATTCAACCGATTTGAATATTTTCGGTGTTGTTTGAAAGAGCATTTTATGCTCTTTTTAAAGATATTTTCAGTGACCGTTTGCTTTAAAACAGGGTTTTCAGTGTTTTACTGCTACTTCTTTCGTTTAATAACACGTTTCTATGTTCTATACGTTACGAGTCGCGACGCAGCCCTTACTAACCGTTTTTTTGTTGTTTTTCCTATATAAATAGTGTTTCGTGTTTGAAATCTTTAGTCTCTGTTAACAAACTGTAAAGGTGAAGTGGGTAAAATAAAATGAGCGGCAGAAAAAAGATAAAATTTGGCATTATTACTTAGAAAAAATGGAAAAAGGAAAGACCGGTAGCAGAGCAATTTGTAAGAATTGCGGAAAAAATATACAAGGACTAGGTCAAAGGATGAAAGAACACCATTGGACCCTGGACCAAGTAACATCGAAAGTAATTTAGTAGAAGGTAAATAGTATTTATTGCAACTTAAAACGACGTAAATGAATAAAATAGTACTATTTTTGATTATTTCAATCTTGTTCTATAGGAATTGAAAACTCATCAGAATCAACCATTGCTAGTAAAGAACAGTTTTCTATTAACACCTCTTAAAAACGACCTGCAAGCGCTTGCTCATCTACATCTTCGACTTTATTTGCTGAGGATGATTCGGCTGTTGTAGGTAAAAAACGGAAAACGAATGCTAATACAAATTTGGAAAGCTTTATTGTTCGAACGGATATTGATAAAAAACAAGAAATAGATAAACAAATTGCAAGAGCTGTATTTGCAACAAACAGCAGCTTTNTCTGCTTCTGTTGAGAGAATATTTTCAACATTTGGGCTTGTTCACTCTACTTTACAAAACAAGTTAGGTGTTGAAAAGGCAGGAAAACTTGTTTTCTTATATAAGTATTACAATGAATCTTAATTTTTGTATTAAATGTTTTTTTATTTTGTGGTAAAGTGCACTTTAATTTTCAGTTTTGTTTTTGATTTAAATCATTGATTAAAATAAATAAATCATTTGATTAAAATCATGATTTTAATCAAATGATTTAAATCAGTCGAACCCTGCTTTAAAACAAATAAACTAGAGGGCGTTATCTACAGCGATTACACATTTTTATGATTTTTGAAGAAAAGTTAAATGGAACGGTACTATTTACTTCACAGACTCTCACCTTAAAATTTGCTAAATTTTAGTGAAAACCGCATCTCGATATCGCCACCCGTTCTCGAATTATAGAA